AATCGACCAGTACACATTAATGTTATATAATATCAAAACATAAATGGTATATAAAAGTATAATAAGTTTTGTATGGAGTTTTATCTATCCATGCCGGATGACAATAACTAAGAAAGTTCCAGCGTCAAAAATAAGTCAAAGGTATTCGAGACCCCAATTTTTGAAAGTTTAAGTAGCCTGTTACCAATTCGGAAATAGGCTCGCTCATTTTTTGAAGTGGTTGTGTTTGAAATCTCCTCTGGCGTAGATGGAAATGATTTTGTGGGCTTGCGCTTCGAAAATTGTACCCATTTTCATTAAAATAATTGATATTTCTATTGAATCGGCATTTTTCGCAAATAATTTACAGAAGCAATCCAACCTATTCTAAAGCTTGCCCTTCTTAAATTGCATCCATTTTGATTGAACTAATTAAATTTTCCAATGAAACAGCATCTTTTTCAAATTAATTGACAGAAGTTGTCTAACCTATTCTTAAAAAGGGATCAAAGCTTGATGTTAACAGACCCATATTTATCCTTTCCAACTGGAATAAAAATTTTGAGGAAGCAATTCACAATAAAGTATACCGGTATCTCAAAAAAAATGTTAAACATATCTACTTTCATAAAAAAAACACATTTCGTTTGATGTGATTGAAAAAATGACTGAAAAAATTCTAGTTGAATGCCAAGTAATTAAAAAATCCATTTTTTATCTACCTGAAAAAGGGTTCAATACTCGCGACGTTTACATTTTAATTTGAAATTAGGAAATGGATGGTGTTGGTGGTAAAGATTAACTCTGGTTTAAAAGTAACTTATGCAAAAACTTTGAATAATAATTAATTTTTGAACCCTCAAGAATAAATTTGAAGTGTGGTGCACCTGAAGGCCCAATTTTGGAACTTCTCTTAGTCATATTATACACCAATGCTTTTCCAAGGTCTAAAAACCTGTGAAGTCTATCTTTAAGCGGATGGCACTAACGTAACTGGATTGAACTTTTCTCTTAATTTTTTCCAGAATCGCTGCGCAATAGTGAAATGGTTGATTAAGTTATCGCTCAGTATGGATAACACTGTTGATATGAACTTATCAAATAAAAGTAGTTTCTTTTTTGATCTTTCTCTGAGTACTAACACATTGAAGTATGCTTCGTCATGTAAATGACATGGCGTTTATCTAGAATTTCTTTTGCGTCTCACTTCTGTTTCGTGCGTCATTTTTTTTCCTAAATCGGTTCTCTTTGATTAGTACTGCTCAAACATCAAACCAGTTTGGCAATATTGCGTATTACTCGTTGATGGTTGCTCAATCCATAAAGTGTTATTTTCTCTTCTTTTGATTAAAAAAAAAGTTCAGGTTCAATTTTTTTTGAAAAAAATTACGCAATCGGCTGGACTTTTAATTACAAAAAACCAATGGTTCTTGAGATTTATATAGATGAGTTGTTCATTTTTTGTTCCGAAATCATTGCCAGGACTTCAGAAAGAAGAGTTCTTGAATGATTTGTAACAATTTGAGTTTTCTCAATATGGGACAAGACAAGCTAACTTAAAAAATTATAAAGTACATAATCTGAAAAGCAAGAACAAAGAGAATCACTTATTTTTACAGTTAATCATTTTGTTTCGGTATACAACTTATTACCCTCAAATTTTGATAATTTCTGTTTCTCGGATGTTCAGAACTTTGCTCATGAATTATGAGACTTGTTTATCTTAAGTATTGAAGACATGATTAAATTTTTTTTTTCAATTTTCTGGCCGCAACTAATAAATTCTGCATAATCATTATTTTTTCATGTTAAGCATATCAATTTCTTTCAAACTTTTGGTTTTTTAGCGTGTGTTCGACTAGAAAACCATCCTTGGACTTGTTCTCTGGATGTTGCCCCATTTGCTCAGTTAGGTTTCTTGACCATATAGCCCACAATCATTTTTATTGGTATCATGGCGGCTCTAGTGGATGGTACACAATTAGATGCTGCAGTAAACGAAAATCAACAAATTCATGCTTTATAGTTGAACCGGCTAATTTTCAGAATTTCAACACCCAAAAAAGTTTTGCAGCAATAATTAATTCTGTGTTCTAATTAGATTGTACCAATTTAGAGAAATAACTCCTCATAGTTAATAGACTGTGTGAACTTCTAGTTTCAATGTCAGAAGGAGGCTTACTTTGATCAATTGGACTTTGAGAAGTAATTGAATGTTTTATTTCAATCACCCAGTAACCCCAATGAGTTCTTGAGCTGTATACTCTGAGTTTTATTTCACTGTTACTTTGCTACTGGTTTTTATGTTATGTAGTTTGATATGTGCGAAAAAAATTCTTTTTCTTCATCTTCTTATTTTTTGACTTTTTCAAGAAAATAATTTTTTGAAGAATTTTCTGGTTTTCAGAATTTCAAAATACCACGCTCAAGCTGATTTTGAATCTGATGTTTGAAAACTGTTCCGATGTCCACTTGAAAATTTTCCTTTTGTGTCGCAAAAAAATTTTACCATTGTTTCCATTATCGGGGTCCTCTTTTTAATTCTGTTTTTGATTGTTTTTCCGTTCTGAAAAATTGTGAAAATCCCTTCTGAAATCAACTTAGATCCATCCGAAAGGATAAATTTAGGTTGACTTCGCAACTTTTAGTTTCGAAAGCTTTTCTGCATTTTTTGAGCAAAAAGTTTATGTTAGTGGCAAGTAAGTAATTTTTCATTTCTGATTTTGTAAAATCTTATTTTTTGGACTTATACAGAACAGCGAGTGTGCTTATGTTACTGAGTGAACGGATGATTAAAATTTTTTAAACTTTCAATGGGTGTGTCGGAACGGAATTTTTTTTTTCAATATTTCGAAACTCCTCCTACGAGCTTATGGATAGCTCAAAAATTTTACCATCATGTTAAGCTACAAAGTTTTAATCAAGCGACAATGCTAATGGAAAACATGCTGATGGACCAGTCCCCATATAATTCCAGCCATATTGTGTCATCACTTCCACAACTGGAGCAACTTCCTGTCTTGAGTGTGATGCGGTAAGTGTCCTCCATGTATGATCCGGAGCGTCTGCTCTGGTTCTTTTGCGACTCGGCTGAAAAACAAAAAAAAATACATATTTGCTTGTGCATATTTTTTAAGTTTAAAAATTTTAAAAATAACATGGGTCATTTTCATTGTCCATTAATAGGAATAAAGTCTGATAAAAATATGAGAAAACTTAAGAAATTTCATATTATATTTTGACACCGAAACAATTCTTTACAAAAAAAGGACGATGTTGCTGCATTTAAGCCAAATTCTACCACGTTGTTGTTGTATTTGTTGTTGTTATTGTTGATGTATAAGAAAAAAAACTGCTTTTTGCATGATTTTTTGAATTTTTTCCTTAGGCTAATCAAAGGAACAAAAACGTCTCCAACATAACTTGCATTTACCGTGCCTCCAGTAGCGTGCCGAGTGTGAGGGGGCGAGGGCGACCGCCCCTCAAATCTGGTTGCCAAATTTTTAGGTCGATCAATTTGATTTTCCGAGCTTTCCTGAAATAGTACAAGATCCAGAAACACTATTATGTGAAAAGTTTTCTGCGTTTTCTGAAAAATTTGCTGCGTTTTCTGCGAAAAATTTTTTGCGCGATCCCTTTCAATATTAGTTTTATTGGCGCCGAAGGCGCCTTTAGAATAAATTATAGGTCGATCAGCGAAAGTTTTTGCAAAAATTGTTTTCGCTGAACAACCTCAATTTTTTTCCAAAGGCGCCTTTGGCGCCAATACAACTAATTTTGAAGAGGAGCGCGCTGAAAGTTTTTCGGCAGAAAACGCAGAAAATTTTGCAGCAAACTTTTCACAAAACGCAGAAAAGTTTCCACATAATAGTGTTCTTGTATCTTGTACTATTTCAGGAAAGCTCGGAAAATCAAATTGGTCGACCTAAAAAAAAATGGTCGACAAAATTTTCAAAATTTTTTCGAAAAACCGCCCTTCCCTCTAAAAAAGTTTTTGCGCAAGCCACTGCGTGCCTCAATTCAATCTAGAATGATTTCTGATTTGAAAATCCGCCCCGTTCGAGAAAATCCTCGATCCGCGCCTGAGTCTACCACAACCCGACTAATTTCGGCTGCAATAGTGTTCTAATAGTGGACCACGTGAAAGGTCTGAAAGCAAAGATCTTGAGTTAGCTTGGGTATTTTAAATTTGTCAATGTAATTTTAAGGCATAAGTTTGGGCGCCAATACTCCGTTTTTGTTTGGAGCTTGCTTCTGCGGCAAAAATTTTGTTCAAAAACAATAGGTGAATTGAGGAAAATGTTTTGGCCCCAATAGTGTCCTGCTAGGTTAAATTATTTCTACTCTAGGTTGCATGGCATTTAAACTGTTTTCTTTTCGAAAAAAGTTTATGAACTTTATCTACACTGTCAGGGGCTACAATATGTTCAGTTGTCAATCATCTTATTTGCTATTCTTTATTTACTTATCTCTGAGATTTCTCATAGTATAATTAACTGTGAGTTTGGTACCTGCCTGTCAATCAACTTAGAACTGTCTAGCTGTTATGTGTTGACCTCTAGTTCACTCTCTTATTTATGCGAGCTAGAATACAGTCAATTGAGTATTTAACAGCCATCGTTTTATCAACCCTTGTTATGGCGCAGTCAGTGGATGGAGGGGGGAAAAACCCCCTTGGAATTGTGGCTTTCTGGCCTCCGAATCAGGCGGAACCACAACTCTTATGGGAACACAGATTTCATTGGGCAATGGTGGCGAAACATGGACTAGTCTCGTCGGAATATTACTTCGCATCGACATTAACTGAAGCACAGATTAATGACCTGGGTGACATTGGTGGAAAACCACGGGCAGAAGGTGACCGTACACTGATATCGAATCTGTACTTATGCCTGGGACACGAGGGACAGAGAGCCTTGAATAATTAGCATCCACATTTAGATATGGAAACAATACGATACCCACGTTTTTTGGATACATGTGTAGCTCTTTTTCAGAAAGAGCGAAACGAAACGTACGAGATGTACCAGATGTTGTCGCGGAAACAAAAGGAGGCTGAAAGCTTAGAATCGTTCTATGCAGAACTTAGTGGAATGGCGGCAAGATGCAATTTGGGCACCCAGGAGCCGAAAATGGCGAGAGACATATTTATTTTCAACATGAGGAACAGGGACGCGCAGAACGAGCTGTGTGGGGAAACTAAAACCCCGGAGGAAGCATTGAGAATCGCAATGTCATATGAAAGAGGAGACAAATATGCAAAGACTTACAAGGGCGTCGCATCCGGTTCCACGGGAACGGCGTATCCATCGCCAGGGGGTTCCCTGCAGATCAAAACGGAACCAATCAGCAATATTCGTGGATCCAGGGGACGAGGAATGCCAAGGGGACGGGGCCAATACCCAAATCGTGGAGGAGGTCGAACACAAGAACGAATGCAAGAGCGAAGATGTTACAATTGCGATCAACCGAACTTCACCCCAGAACACCGACAACGATGCCCAGCAAGAGCCGTCACATGCAATTTTTGCAAAAGATCGGGCATTTTGAGAGGACTTGCCGGGGAAAACGACAATCCAGGGGGGGGGACAACCGGTTGGATTAATCCAAGGGGATGAGCTATTCGAGGAAGAAGATACCCCCTCGGATGACGTGGGGCCCCAAGTTGCGGCAAATTCGGTAGGTTTCGTTAAACCAGAACACCACAGCTGGTCATCAGAAAGTTCAGACGGCTACATGGTTATGGCAATTAGACGGAAGAAGGAAACAGTATTGAAAGTTGCCGGACCTAAACTCAAAATATACATTAATAGGCACCCGATGAACATTTGGATCGACAGTGGATCATCGATATCCATTTTAACACTAGAAGAATTGAGGAGAACAGTGGGAAGAGCGGGAATTAATTTAAAACAAGATGACACTGACGATGACGAATTCCGGGATTACAGTAACAGTCGGATCAAGATGTTGGGCAGAATGGAACTCGAGTTAGCATTAAACGGCTGGAAGACGAAAGCAGAAGTCCGAGTCATTAGGGGGACCAGACCATCCATTCTGGGACGTGATTTGATGGGGAAACTCGGACTCCAGTTGATGCAAGCAGATCCAAGGGGGGAAGTAATGAATATCCAGGGGACGGAAGCCAATTCATGCAATGAGGGGCACGACGAACCGGAGGATAAGCAGATGGATCAATGGCAATTATACTTCAATAAGCTATTCCCAAAACTTTTTACTAGAGTTGGAAAAATTAGGAACTACAAGGTTCAAGCAGAGTTTTTCAAAAATCTTGTACCAGTGCAGCAGAAGGGACGGAGAGTGCCGGTAACGCTCCAAGAAAAGGTGGACAAGGAAATTGATAAGCTATTAACCCAGGGACATATAGAAAAGTTGAAAGAGTGTTCGGAACTATATTACATTTCTCCGATCGTCTTCACCGTAAAAAAAGACTGGTCCGTAAAGTTAGCATTGGAATCTCGAGAGCTTAATAAACAAGCTCATAAAAACAAATACCAAAATCCAAATATAGAAGAACTTGTAGATACAATAGGACAACTTATTTCCGAGAAAAAACAAGGGGAGATGTACTTTACTACGATGGATCTAACGTACGCGTATGGGCAACTACCGCTTAGTGAAGAAACAAGCGTGCACTCTAACTTTTCTTTGGTGGGCGGACGGTCGACAGGAACATACCGATTCCGAACTGGGTTTTACGGGCTAACGTCCATGCCGGCAGAGTTCCAACGAGTAATGGACTCAATTTTGAACGAACTCCCACAAGCGAACGCATTTATTGATGATATTTTGGTTACAACCAAGGGAACGGAAGTAGAACATATCTCCTTGGTTGAAAAGATCCTCAGGAAACTAAATCGCGAAAACATATCGCTGAAATTAGCAAAATGCGAGATTGCGAAACGAAAATGCGAGTGACTCGGTCATCGTATAACCGAAACGGGGGTTACGCCGCTTAAACGCAAAACATCGCCGATAGACGCATTACAGGCTCCTAAAACAGTCACTCAATTGAAATCGTTTATGGGCTCAATCCACAGCTTGCATAAATATTTACCAGCGATAGCGGAGATGTCAGCTCCATTAAGGCCACTTCTCAGCAAGAAAAACGAACCTAACTGGACCGCGGAATGTGAAAATGCTTTCCAAAACATTAAATTGGGGGTCGCAAACATAGTTGAAATAAAACATTTTAATATTCATAAAGACATTAGAGTTGTTTGCGATGCAAGTCATAATGGCCTTGGAGCGGTTTTAGAGCAATTGGGTACAGAAGGGTGGCGCCCTATCTCTTTTGCATCACGATTCTTAAACGCAGCCGAGAAAAAATATTCCACTAACGAGCTTGAAATGCTGGCGGTGGTATGGGGGCCGAATATTTCAGAAACTACATTTTACAGTTATCACGGACCATAAGGCCCTAGTTTCATTACTTAACGGGAATAACAAGAAAAACAAAACTCTCTTTTCAAGACTGACACTTTGGCTAGACAGACTGATTCCTTTGGCTAGAAGATCGGATTAGCAGATTACTTGTCAAGGCATCCTAGCGAACCCCCTAAACCGATAAGTCAATATGATAATTTGTTCAACGTGGCAAAAAATCGCTTCAATTAGAAAATCCCTTGGTTTCACAAATTATTTAAAACCCCTTGGTGAACGAAATTATCAGGATATTAAAGATACTGGTTCTAAACAGTCTAGACGGTTTTCATCCAATCAGAAGCGAGAACGGATTACATGCCTACAAACAGCGACGGTTGAGGGCGGAAGGTCATGCGTGAAGACACCGACCAATAGGAAACGATCAATTTGCATAACGCGTAAATCAAAGAAATCCAAGGGACATTCAGTGTGCTCTATATATTGTTCCCTCGGAAGACGGTTAAATTGCCCTACACAAAATATTTCACACAAAATGGATAGCGATTCTAATTGTTCTTTCCCAGTATTTGAAATTAAAAATGTTGAAAATGTTGAAATTGATTCCCAAACTAACTCTCCGAATATACTACACTCTCAGATCAACTCTCCGCTTAGATTAGATCAAAACCTATTGAGTAGCGATGAAATAACTGTCATTAACCCTGAAATTGTTGCAATTACTAAAAATACACGGAATTCAAAAATTAATACAGTACTTTCTATACCTTCAAAATTCCCAGGCGAGCTTTTTCCTACCGTTAATCCAAATCAGCAAATTATGTCTATCATTCCCCGTGATTGCAAGGTTATCAAGAAATTCCAAGCGTTACCAGAACTATTTAATTTAGAATTTGTTGCCTCAAACATACCGGCGGATGTGAACTTAGTACGAGTAAAAGAAGCATTGGAGAAGAAGATTAACTTGAAAGAAGAACTCCTGAAGATTGGGAAGTTTTGGGCCCAATACGCAAACGATTTGTCATTACGGGACGACTGTGTGTGGTTGGATGGACGGCTGGTCATTCTTTTGCCATTACAAGTCCCAATTTGAGTCGCGGATACATTATTACCATCACGGTAAACGAAACATGTATGAAGCAGCGCGTGACGTCTGGTATCCCTACATGTACCGCAGTTTGGCAGCAAAGGCCACGTACTGTCAGCAATGCATGGAACTGGGTAAGAACCTAAAATCGTTATTACCCAAGGGAGACATGGGGAAGTTCCCTGAACTAAGGGAACCCAATGAATGTATATAGTTGGATTTCTGGGGGCCAATAAATTACTTAATTGAGAGCAAGAAATATGTCTTGGTTGCTACGGACCGTTTCTCAAGGTGGCCATCAGCAATGGTTACTACCACTAACACGTCAGATAAAGTCTTAAAATTTCTCGATAAATACATAACTCATCATGGAGTACCTCGGAAAATCCACGTTGATCAGGGATCATGTTTTACATCTGATAAATTTAAAAGCTTCTGTGACAACGAGGGCATCGAGCTAATGTACTCCCCAGTGAATGATCATCGAGGCACGGGGTCCGTTGAACGGACAATAGGAAGTTTGAAGAATTTTGTCCTAACATATGCGACTGAAAAAAGCATAAGTCTCTAGAATCTATGGTCGATAAAGCGCTAGGCGCCCTACAATTTTCCAAAAATGCAACTACTAAATTAACAGCTTTTGAAGCTCACCACGGCCGGGAGGCCAACACCGTTTTACGAAATCTTACGAAAAAACCAAGTTTGAAAAATTTGAATTGGAAGAACGTCTTAAAACAAAAATGTTTGTGTTTAGACGAAAATGATCCTGAGATGAGTAAAATTGCATTCCCTCAGCACGCGAATTGGGAGGAAAGGTCCGATTTGACATACGCTCCAGCGTTAAGAAGGGCCCCTATCATGCTTGATAGCGACCAGCAAATGGACACATGTCCAGGGGAGGTATCGGGAGTTGCCCCGAAAATCCAAGGGAGTAGAGACACTGGCCCTAACATCCAGGGGAGTGGAGGCACACGCGACCTATATCGGCGTACCACCAGCAAGACCCTATATCGGTATAAATTATTAAAATCCAATGTAATCTCTGAATCCGAACATACTATCAAGCTAAAAAAACGGATCTGTTCTTAGGAAAAGTGCAGTGGCAGGAAAACCAAAACCCAACCTTCCCAAGAAACGGAAGTCGGCTACGCTCAAGGAGATGTTATCGAGCGCAAAGAAAAGGGCAGTCGATAGTCCGAAATCAAAGAGACCAGAGGCTATGCAAAACGTATCAGTAGCCACCTTCCAGTCTGACAGTTCGGATAGTGAAGATTACCAGCCATTAAATATTATCCCTGCAAGATTACCGATAGAAGTGTTAGCGAGACACGAAGCGATTGCGGCGGGACAAGGCCCAAGCGGCATTACACAGTAGCAGAACGTGGAACGGGAGCAAAAGCAAAATCAAGAGTGACGAGAGCGAAGCGAGGAAAAAGGGGTCAAGAAAAACAAGGAAAGGGGAGCCAGGAATGACCGGCGTTAGTTGCGAGAGAGTGCCTTGTGAATAGTAGCCAAGAAGAAGACGTCGAATCTGGCAGTCAAAGTGAAAGCTCGGGAACCAGAAGGAGTACTAGAAGGAGAAAGCCAGTAGATAAAATGGGAGGAGTCATGATTGAAAATATCCAGGGGGCGGAACAAAAAGGAAAACATCCAGGGGGAGAAGGAAAATGAACCTTACTGAAAAACTCATTCAAAAACTCATTACCCAGGGAGAGGGATGGCCATAAGCCTAAAACTCAAGTTTGTTGTATCGTTTTAGTTGAGGCGGCAGGTTGAAGGTTTAATTATTATATTAAATTTAAATTACTATGTATTTAAATTTTACATCCATACGGAAATGTCAGGGGCTACAATATGTTCAGTTGTCAATCATCTTAGTTGCTATTCTTTAATTACTTATCTCTGAGATTTCTCATACTATAATTAACTGTGATTTTGGTACCTGCCTGTCAATCAACTTAGAACTGTCTAGCTGTTATGTGTTGACCTCTAGTTCACTCTCTTATTTATGCGAGCTAGAATACAGTCAATTGAGTATTTAACAGCCATCGTTTTATCAACCCTTCTTAACACATAGGCTCATTAAGATTCTTTAAATCAAGATTTCCAAAACTTTGAGGAAACGGTTAAAATGATTATGAAGTTTGATTAAATTTTAGCAAAATAATTGGTTAAATTTCAATATCGTTTGCCAGCAACAGACTCCAGCTGCTTGAAACATGAGCTTAATTGGGTGTTCTATTTATAAAATTTCTCTCTATGGCGGAATAAAAAATCATCAAAAAGTTTTTTGAAGAATTGGTTTGTTGGTTTTAAGAGATGCAATTAGGTAGCCAAAACTCTTAGATTCACAAAAACCGTATTTTGTTCTAAAATGTATCTGTATAATGGAGCAGCCTTATTCAAATATTTTATTTGCAGTTTCAATTTTGCTGCATAGTTTGAAATTACTCAGCAAATAATTAGATTTTTGTGTTTTAAGTAATGAAAACATGCGTCTTAACTGTAAAAAAGTTTCATCTTTTTCTTTTAGCCTCGAAAAAACGATTTAGTGAAAATTTTTCAACCCTGCTGCAGTTTATTTCACCTAAAGTATTTGAAAACTTATCATTTCAACCATTTTGGTTTTTTCTCGAACGTTTCAAATATTTAATACTAAAAACTACTTCACAGACGTCAGTCCAATTGATGAAGGCTCAAAACAAGGAAAATCCCTGCTGTAAGAAAATCTTACCGATGCTGAATGATATATTCAGAATGAAGGCTGAAGCATAAAAAATGGACCTCATCATTTCAATTTTTTAATCACTATGTCTCTTCTTCACTCTTAACAAAATTTTTCTATCATAAATTTGTTTTCCATCCATGGTGATTTTCGTGTTACGGATTTTCTTATGAAGTTTTTGGGTTTGTGTAACTACCTTAGAAAAAACAGCTGAATACCCTGGTAATTTTATCCACTCTTTTTGGCAGATTTGCCGCTAAGTCAGGACAGTAAGCACATCAAAAAAATAAAACCTACATTAAATTCGGTTTTTGTGTCCTCAATAAATCAAAGGCGCTGAAAAATAACTAAAATGAGCTTCGTTTTAATGAGATTTTTTATCGACATATTTGTTAGTTTAGTCAGAATTTATAAATTTTTTGCTTTAATTTACTTAAAATGACTCAATTTTAAAATGAATCTTTACTGAAAATTATTCAGTAAAAACTGAAAAAAAGTTTAGTACGAATGAATTTCAACAATTTTAAAATCAATTTCTTCCGATTGTCAATGTTGCCAGAAATTGTTGTTGTAGGGATTTCTTCATTCAACAGGCTCTTTTTTAATGAAAACTAATGGATCATTTTTGACAAACTCAAGCTTGCGCTTTCTCTGCTCAGATACTTTTGCTGCTGTTTTTGGAACCTTTTGTGTTGAATAAAAACATTTTTTATTATTTTGAGT